CTATGCAAAATATATCCACAATATATTCCAAAGCATAATGTCACCGGATAAACCTAAGGAGTGGAACATATGGGGGAATATGAAAAAGAAGGTATTAAAGTCTGAAAACAAGCAGGTTGGTAAGCTCATTAGCTGGGGTGGAATTTTAAAATCTTCACGTGAACGAATATATAAATCAAAATATACACATGCATTCACAGTCATGCGCACTGTGTATTCACACATGGCACACTCTGCACTGTTACATTATAATCGTCCACCCTGAAACAGTGACATTCCCTTCTCTTTATAAGTGTGAAAGCGCCCTCTGCTGGCCAACCTGCGGTACTTGCATTTTCTAGTTTTATAGCCCCAAGATCCAACAAAGAATGATAAAAGCGGTTTGGGGGATTTTCTGCAGAACTCTGCATAAAAGTAAGTTTCATTCGAAATACAACACATTTTATTATTTCATTTTAACCGTATTTTCTTTACTTTTATTTTATTATAAGGCATTAATTTCTAAAACAGTGTAACAAAAGGTCAATGTAAAATAACCGCTCACTTGTTTTAACAAACCGGCAGTAGTAGACGATGACAAAGGACTGCACAACCAATTTTACTGTAAGCCTATAGAATTAACATAAACCAAATAGCTGTGTATTTGCTATAATTATTTTTAGTAGAAGAAAATGATTGTTGACTTTGTGTCCCTCTGATATTTTCTACGGAAGTGTGGTCCAGAGAAACACCAAAATTTTCCAATATTTTCTTATTGGAAAATGACAGGTGACTTCAGAAAGCAGAACTATCACATCCAGCATTAAAATTCTATGAATAGTTGGAGAACTATTCAAACATCCTTTTAGAATTATTGTATTAATGTGGAAAGAAGCAAATTTTTTTTATAGTTTGGTATATCTTAATTATTAACCACTTTTTAATGGGAAGCAGTTGGAAGGAGAAGGAAGAAGAAATGCCAGCCCCCAACGTGGAGGCATGACAAAATCACTCTCCAGAACTACCCACGAGGGAATTCTGATCTGTCACCCCAGGGTGAAGGAAAGATGTGAGTAAAGTTGGTTTCAGGGTGGGCCACTGTTCCCTATGCTAGTGTGAATTACCTGTCATGTGTCTTAAGAAGTAAAAAGAATATATATACAACATATAAAGAATCTGGGCATTAAAAATATAAACAATTAACATTTGTATGCCCAAAGACTACTATGCACTGAAAAAAATCCTTCAGAAACTGGTTCAGAAATAAAAATGAAAGAGGTCTTAATTTAAAATTAGAAATAATTCAGGTCACTTTTTAAATTTTTGCCTATGAAAATTCATGTTTATAGAATGTATGTAGCTTAAGCAATAAGTTTCTTTCACTGCTACGTTGGTAACTGCTTTTGAAATCAACCCAGTAAGTATACTGAGATTCAAAATAAAGATTATACATTATCAATAACAATAAGATATACAAAACAAAATTGTGCAAATGAGTATTAGAGATTATTGAATATTTTCACATTTATTTTGATTGTTAATTCTGTCAAAGAATGCCAATGTAGGCAAAATCCCTCTATAGCTAATTTTGCAACAAAAACTTCAGTCAAAAGAACGCCAATACTTGCAGACACTAACTACTATATATAAAATGGATAAACAACAAAATCCAACTGTATAGCACAGGGAACTATATTCAATACCTTGTAATAGCCTATAATGAAAAAGAATATGAAAAGAAATATATATATGTATAACTGAATCACCATGCTGTACACCAGAAACTAATACAGCATTGTAAACCAAACATACTCGAGTCAAAAATTTTTTTTAAATTTAAAAAAAGAACTCCAATAGCTTCTTTGGGCCACTGATACTTCACAGTCATTTACATCAGTAGTTCTTAATACTGAAGAGCATCGAGCAAATAAACAAACACTTGGGATGACCCGCATCTGTCAGCAGCAGTGTCTAGGGCCTAAAGCACAGGCCCTCCAGCTGCGTAAATCAGTCACCCTGTGCTACTCCTCTGGAAAGGGCCAGAACGGACTGGACAAAACTGTTCCCAAATCCACATGACAAGTCCAACAGCACACGAATCCCACAGACTGGGAGATGGTTAAAATCTGAGAGCCGGATGGAGTCCTCAGATTTCGGTGCCGTTCACTGGACTCTCACGTGTCCTCAGACTAGTGTACATTGTGCTCGTCTGGACTTTTCTTCCAAAGCACTTACTGGGCAGCAGCTCTTTAGCGACTGCTGTTTGGCAGACACACCCGTCAGCCGAAAGCTCCACGGGGCAGAAGCCGCTCCTGTTTTGTTCCACCACCGTATTGACAGTGCTGAGCACTGAGCACTACATGCCTGGCGCATGAAAGGAGTTCATTAAAGATCTGTTAAACTAAAGAAGTGAATGGACTGGAGGGGAGAGGGGAGGGAGGGAACCCAATGAAGGAAAGACAAACCCTCTTCCGTCCCTTAAGGCCATTACTAAGATCTAGATATTTTTCACTTGATGCACCTTTAAGTTTTATATTAAAACAGTAAGAAAACAGAAATGTTTTTAAAGTTTTGCCTTGAATTTTATCCTCGCTGAGACTCAGAATCCTCCATAGATAATAAAGCACAGGCTGACAAGACGCAATAGACCGGCGGCCTTTGATGACAAGCCCGTATTTGAGATGCAGCATCGCCTCCCAGCCTCAGTCCTGCCTTCAGCCCTGTCTAGTGTGAATTTAGGAAACAGCCAGTAACCCATAGAGATGTCAGGGAGCCTTCTAAGGAAGTTTACTGGAACATGAAAAACCCACATTCAGAGAGTAGTTTTGGCATTCCTGCACAATCATAATTTCTTCACGAAAGCACAGCTGCTCTAGTGAAAAAAAAAGGTCCTCTAGAATTCAGATTTTAAAAGCTCTGCTATTTTGTACATTAAACCTTACTCCTTAAAGTGTGGTCCAAGACCAGCGGTAGTGGCATCACCCGGGAGCAAATGTGAAAGGCAGGATCTCAGGCCCCACACAGACCCTAAAATCTGCGCATCAGTAAAATCTGCCCCTCCTCCCGACGACTCCTCTACGCGGGAACACTTCAGAAGTATCCCATGAAAACCCCAAAAGCCATAAACAAGGCTAAAGAGCAGGCAAACGATAAAAAAATGTTGGTACTATTTATGACAAAGAACTGCTCTCCTGTATACTTAGGTAGTTCATAGAAACCACCACCAACAAAAAATATAAATACCCTAATAGAAAAATAGGCAATTAGCAACAACAAAAAGAATGAACTTGTAAAAACAATTTTCCTTAGAAATAGAAAGATTCAAATTCAAGTAGCAAAATACCAAGTTGGCAAAGTTTAAAAATAATATTACCAACTCTTGTTGTAGAAGGGACCTCAGGGCAATGAGCGCTCTGCTGTTGGAGGACGTGTAGCTTGGTACACATTCTTGGAGTGAAATATGACATTAAGTATCAACTGTCTTAAAACTGTGGCAATCATTTGATCCATAAGTTTCAATTATGTGATTTGTTTTTAAGAATTAAATCAAGCATACATAGAAAGAGAGTCATTGCAGTATTTTTTCATGATGTAGAAATTAAGAAACATCCTAAATGTTCAACAGTTGGTTGATTAGTTATAAAGCATCCAATGGATGGAATTATTCAATTGTTAAAACTGTGCTGTCGAAGAGTATCTAATGAATACAGAGGAAATGTTGTTATGTATAAACATCCAGGTATGTCACAAGACCCACGGGACAGACACCCAAAGGTGAAGCTACCATACCTCACTGTGAAAGCAGGAGAGCCTTTTTTTTTTGTATGTTTCGATGTTTTCCAAATTTCCTCCAATGCAACTATGTTACTTTTCTGAGTAGAAAATAGTAAACTTTGATGGAGTCAGCTCATACTCGCCCACAAGAGCGAATTGTTAAATTTTCTGGAGTTCTGTGAGCCAGTTAATGTTAAGCACAGCCATTTTTACAGATTAAGTTATATGCACTTACTAAATAAACTATATTAAAACAAAGGTAATGAATATTTAAAACTCATCACTGTCTAGCCATCTTACTAGATTTTACTATTACCAATCCTATCAAGGCTAGTTAAGCCTATTGTCTCTGGATGGTGGAAATGCCAACTAAACCGTGCGCCACTGCACACCTCTTCAACCTGGTGTGCAGCGACACGCTATGGGAGTGTGAACGCAGCCTTGGTGGGAGTGTTTGCACCACGAAGACTGGCATGCGCTACAGAGCAGGGCTTTTCTCTCTTCTCCAGAGAGCTGCTTGTTAAACATTTACCAGCACACCACAGACTTCAAGCAACTATTTCTTTTGAAAAATAGAATGTGGCCATTTGGGGGACAGAGGAGAAGAGAGAAGGATTTTCCTATTATAAACAAATTAGAAAGGGGAAAGGATTAAACTCATTTGATTCTTCCTTGGCTGTTCCACACGAGAAGAAGCAGGCATGGTGGTATCTAGCACTCACATCAGTTAGTTATTGAAATTCAAGCCAAGCCTGCCTACCACCCGGTGGTCTTCCTTTCCACAACCTTGACTTTGGTCTCTATAACCCAGCGGAACCTCTCTGAGAGAGCCCAGTCTGTCAAACAGGGAAAAGGCAACGGCCTTATTTAACTCTCGGAGCTTTGGATGAGTCAAACCAATTCATGTATTTGAAAGTACTTCGAAAACCAATAAATGTAGGACATTATGATATTATGAAATGTATCACATTACAAGAACCATGGATATCTTATAAAGTAAAATTAGAACCCAATGTGCTCATATTCATGACATAGTAATATTGCATTAGTTTTGAAAGCATTTTTAGTCGCCAAGAGGAATTATTTTCATTTAATCTCCTCCAGAAATATTATTTTAATGAAAAGACAAAATCCCAAAGCCTGCACTTTCTCTTTCTGTTGAACAGAGCCTGCTAGCAACGGCGCACCAACCGAGTCCTTCAGAAGCAGTAAGTAGTGCCTGTAAAGCATGTGTGTGTTCCAAGTACCTGAAACCACAGAAGAATCAGCAAAAGACGATTCCGATGAACTTTTCTCTATGTCCCACACCTCCAGACTGGGCTGATCTGTGGCTAAAAGAAGTGGCTCTTGACCTTCAGGACCGTCTTCCCGTGACAAATTCCCAGGCTCTATAAATAAAAGTATTGGAAGGTGAACAATAGTGCCGCGCACGCTTTAATACAGTACCCGTTGCTGTTCCTGTTATTTTGAAACGAAACAGGGGTTCTTAATATTCACCTGGATGTACGTAAATACTCTGAAACACTGAACAGAATGTAAATTGCATTGCAAATGTAAGTTTTTGTGCAGTATAAAGTGCTGTCATTTTTATTTTGAAAACCAAGTGGGGGATCCCTAGTAGAGGTCTGCCTAAATATACTTCAATACCTTGACATTTTGAAAGGCTGGGAACACGTGTTTTTTTCTGACACAGTATTTTTATTTTTAATATGAACACAGTGAGTAATTCTTTGTGATGACTAAATTCTATCTAAAAAGCCAATATAATAAGTACTATGCTGACCGTGAGAAAAGTGTGATAGTTTCCCATCTGACCATCACCTTTAGGGAGGAAGCCACTGATTCACATTTAAGGCTGCATTAATGAAAATGCAAATTTGGTGGTAGTTTTTCTTTAGCTTGTGCTCTTGCCATTTTGTTCTCTCGCTGTGTGTTCCACACGAGCTGTACATATGCTTTAATGTCAGCCTACATTCACGTCTTCTGAGTTTCTGGAGATTTTTTGGAAATTTAATGAAATATTCTGTATCTTTCCTTTCTCCTCCCTTCCATTTCTTTCATCTGAACTTTTTCCCTTCAACTAACATGTATTGAGTGTTTTCCTAAGAACTTATGTGGGTTACCAAGGAAAACAGGAGTTTCTGCCCTTCTGAGGTACAGTGGGCCAGAGAAGATTGATGCCATGAAGAAAGTGCCTTGAAGTATTTTCAATTAGCTCATTTTAAAAAATAAGGAGAAAATGTACGCTGTGTACACTGGAAAATTTCCTGAAGAAAACTGTTCTGACTTTGGAGCATCTCTTTAGACAAGATGACTTGACAGGTACATATTAAGTGTGTTTGGGGTTTATAATAATAGTAGCCAGTTTATTTTGTGCTTCACCCATGTCAAATCATGTAATCCTCAAGATAACCCTTGGTGATAAGAGGAGTAAACTGAGTCAGAGAGGACGAGCGCCTGGTGAAAGGCACACATCCAGGGAAGAGAAGAGCCAGGATTCAGGGTCAGGATCCAGAGCCCAGGCTGCTGTGGGCAGAGCGGCCAGCATAACAAAACACTGCAGGTCGAGCGGCTCAAGTAACAGGAACTTGTTTTCCCCTAGTTCTAGAGATCGGAAGTCCACGATCAGCGTGCCAGCAGGTTGGCGTCTGGTGAGAGCATGTTCCTGAGGTTGCAGAAGGTCTGCTCCTCACCGTGTCCTCACATGGTGGCGAGGGAGAGAGACAGAGGTCTCTCTTCCTCTTCCTATAAGGCCTCCGTCCTGGTGGGGCCCACCCTTCTGAACTCACTTAACCTTAATTACTTGCTCAAGCCGTATCTCTAGACACAGTCACACCGGGGGTTAGGGCTTCAACACTGAATTTGTAGGGGGTGAGGGGGATACAGTTCAGCCCACAGAAGCTCCTACCCTGTGAGTACTCACAGCTAACAGCTTGTTCTGGGCATCGAGGCCTGCTAGAAAAATGTTTAGATTCCCCTAAGAAGATGGACAGCTCAGCAAACAATATTGAAACCCTTGACTCCCCTGACTGGGTGTTCTGAGGACTTGAGAAGTAGTAAGGCCTGTTTATTTGGGTTGAGTTGGTTGGGAGCACCTTACCTGCTGGTAGGGGTGGTGAGAGTCTAGAGTGCTGAGCCCAGATGGGGATTGCATTTTCCATCCAACCTTCAAAAGAAGCTCAGAGACCCATTTGTCCTCTGCCCCCTGTCTTTGTAAGAGCCCACCTCTCTAGGTCAGCATCCAGCATCACCAACTTTGCTTGAAAGAAGCAGCCCTGATGTGAGAGGACCCTGTCAGGGAACCAGGGAGGGAGAAAAGAATGATGGATAATTGATGCCACTTTTTTTTTCTTTTCAGAAGGCCTTTATCTCTTTAAGAAAGTGCTTGGCCTTAACCAGCCAATATATGTGCCTGGGCTGGGAGATTTTGGATAAACTAGTCCCTAAGCCATTCTGAAATAGACGTGTAAAGACTTAATCATAATACAAAGTTACGGCATCTAAAATGGAAAGTAAAGAGGAAGGCATGTGGTAAGTAGACGTATGTGATGGGGTGTGTTATAACACAGGTATTGCTTGGATGTACTTTACCTAGGATTGCTATTTTTCAAAAAATTATAATTTGAAAAAAATCACATTAAACTTCTAACAAGGCACTGTGTAAAGTGGAACTTGAAAATATCTTTGAAAGAAATACATTGTATGTAACTTGCTGCTTCCCCTCCCTACCAGCAAAGAAAGAAATATGGCCACACATGTCTCTGTCAGGAGAAGCTAGAAGACACTTTACAGCTGATCTTCTAGACTTTTTCCTAAACAAGTATGCCACTGTACACAGTTGTAAAATGGTTCGTACCCACTACTTTGGGGGATGGATATGGCTGTGTGATCCTAGAAAGAGGCCTGCTCTTTCTAATATCCCTGGATACACTGAGGCCAAAATTTCCCAGGGAACAAAAAAATCAAGACTATAGCCATGTCCCTTTGAAGTCCAAGTCCTAGAATGGTTGTCACGGATAGAAATGGTCCCACGAGGTCTTGAAAGGGAATTCTTAATGAGAAGAAGTGATCTGGGCTGGGGTCCAGCTCATCCCCGAGGTGTGTGGAAGAAATCTGGTCTCATCATTATCATGTAAGTTTGCCTGGACATCCCTTCAGAGTTAGCAAACTGACATTAGAGTTATGCTGTGGAAATAATAGCTGGGCCGTAACATATAAATGCACAAAAATGTCATCTTGATGTTGCAAGAAAGTGGTGCCACTCAGCCCTTTCCAGAGAACTGACAACTGAAGCAAATAAAGATGCTTCCTATTAATAAAGATTTTTTTATACAGTTATAAAAAGAAACTAGGGACCCCGCTGGTGAACACATCACGGAATTACTGCCTGGATTCTGAAAACTGGATTGACCACCTTTGGCTGAACAAGCCACTACCTCCCTACCCCGCAACCAAATCCCTAAATAGTTTCAGAGAGCCTTTTGAGCTTTTTACTTTGTGGCCATCTCAAACACACTCTGCACAGCAGCTGTTTTGGAGTAAAGCAAAAAGACCATTCCCAGACACTGATTATTCCTACTCCCTGTGGTTCATTTACACACAGGCCCATTAATGCCATTTAATAATTCTTTAGGGCATTTTAATACCTCATAGTAAAATTATTTGTATGTGTGTATCTGTCTGTCTCTGGCTCTCTTTTTCTCTCTATATATAGATATATATTATATATGTATTTATATACAGTGTGTATTTCTAAATACTGAGCCAAATTAAGCTATTTCATAAATAATACAGCACAAAAACACAGAAGGGGGTGGGAAAGGATAAACTAGGAGTTCAAGATTTGCAGACACTAACTAATATACATACAACAGATAAACAACAAGTTCATACTGTATAGCACAGGGAATGATATTCAGTATCTTGTTGTAACTTATGGTGAAAAAGAATATGAAAATGAGTATATGTATGTTCATGTATGACTAGGGCACTGTGCTGTACACCAGAAATTGACACAACATTGTAAACCAACTATACTTCAATAAAAATATATACACACACAAAACCCCATAGAATGTAAAAAAATACTGCACAAAGCATAATATACCAGTAATTATCTGTTTCCTTTTGCATAAGTAACTTAGAAAATTGTTTACTGTGTATCTCACTCCAGTAGAAAGTGCACTACATGGGAATAGGGACTGGGTATATCTCATTTAAGTCCACATCCCCAGCTCCTAGAAGTGTCTGGCATATCGCTGGCACTCGTTACATGTTGACTGAATAACTGACCGAATAAAAGAAGTGAGGTAAACTTGAAACAATTACAATTCATTTAAATCACTCATTACCAATTAAATTTCAGTTTCTCTTACATACGATATTTTTGAAAACATAAGATACATCCTTTGTAAAGAAAAATAAGATAGCAGTTTATATTAGATTTACAAAGAATGTATGTGAGTGCTATCAAATGTTGTTTTTATTGTTATAATTGAATAATTTTTAAAACTCACAGGAAGTAATATTGTGATATGTTGGTGATGACAGATCTTTTATCAGATATTTAATAAATTCCTTAAAAATGTATACAGATGTCCAGAATACTATGCCGCAGAGTTGCAATAACCACTAAAACGTTTTCTTCCAATCAATGTTAAAATTATCTTGATAAAAATTTCAGACAATTACTTCGTTTCCAAAATAAGATGGGAATCGAAAAGCATGTTGGATGGGGGTTGGCTGCCCATATTCCAGGCCAGCTTGCAGAGTGCTGCGGTCTGGAGAAGTTCATCTTTTCCCAGGCAGCAGCTGCCTCGTTAGTAAACAGAAGAAAACAGATTTCTCAAATTGCTTGAAATTTTGATTTTAAGTACCCTAGTATTTGGCCCTGTGTCTAGCGACTTCACTAGCCCCTAGATCCCGGGCAAACCACGAGCCCTCCCAAAGCAGAACGAGCGGTACCTGCGATGCCTTCCGGGCAGGCGGAGCCTGTCAACTCCTGCGCAAGCCCGGCGTTTCCCGTCTGCCTCAGCACAGTCAGGAATGTGGAAAACCAGTTTTCCTTCTGCACTATCCTTCTCAGGAGCTCTCTGACCCCTGATTCGTTCCCATTATTTTCTGCAGCAGAAGAAATCTGTTTTAAGAGAGAAGGAGAATTAAAGAAGTCCAACATCTTATGAATAAATTTAAACAGGAACTAGCCCTTAGGAAAGTTGAACAATTAAGCCTATGTATAAAGGCTCATATGCAAACACTAAAGAAAACAGTAATGCCACCTGTAGCAATTCTGGATTCTAGGGAGGAAAAATGGCTGGACCCAATCCCCCTTGTATATGTGCACCATTTTGTAAGCTGCTGAGATAGTCAAACACACTTAGGAAACAGAGGTTTTACCTCTGCCTTTCTGAATAAAGGGTGCAAAAAATTGTCTTTACTCTCTAGCTAAGTTGTGTCTATTTGCATCAATGTCTTCCTGTACATCTAGGGCTTGCTCTTTCTCTCAACTCATGCAGTCTGCAAATGGGAAATCAAACACTTCTTATCCAACCTCTCTCTTCCCTACTACCATTATGGAGTAAGTAACTACCATCACAGATTTACATCCTTCCATATTTGCACCATTTATTATTGCTATAATATTTTTTCTTAAATTTGTGTTTACTTAGTATTATAAGGCAAATTCATTTCTATATTCTTTTTTTTTTTACAATATGGGGCAGATTTACTTGTATATCCATTCATTACTATCTTTAGCCTTCATTTAATTTCTCTTTTAGATTAATCTATAAATCTTTCAACGTATGGATCATTTGTGTAATCATTAACACAGTGCATCTCCCCAGTTCTTAATACAGTACCAAACATTCAGAGAAAAGATCACATTTAGACCAGAAAATGAGACAGGACACCAACAGCCTGCTGCGCCACTAGGCAAGCCACTTCATCTCTCCAGACCTCAGCTTCTATGTGTGTAAAATGAAGCAACTGAAAAGAAATTTTAGGGTTTCTCTATCATAATTGCACACTAGAATCATTGAGAGAGAAACAGAAAATACTGATGTCTGGAATCTGTGCCTAGATATTCTGATTTGTTCACACTGGGAAACCAGAATTTTTTTTTCCCGAAAGCATCTCTTGATTTTAATCAGCAGATTAGGTGAGAAATATTGACTTACATACTCTTAAAGGTCCTTCTCAACATTTACCCATCTTCTACATGTATAATTTGGACTGTTCAGCAAGATCGTTTCTTACAAAATTTGTGTATATCCTAGTCCTGTAAATATATTCCATAACCTTTTAACGTCAGGAATTTGCAGTTTTGGACAATGCCTGGTACAAATTCAGTGTTAGCTATTATTCAGGATGACTGGGAAAAGCATCTATCTTTACAAACATTTCACCAGCAGACACTACTTAGTACAAGATTATACAGCATGATTTCTACCCAACAGATATGTTCGTCTTATTAGCTAATAGTTAATTATGTTATTGCAAAGGCTTTGAATATAGCAACCCAACAACTCTGAAGGAGGTACCAATATTAACCCATTTTACAGATCAGAAATCCAAGGCTCAGAGAAGTCCATATATCTTCCTAAGTCCACAAAGCTAGTAAATGGTAGGGGCAGTATTTGATCCCAGGCAGCTGGCTTCTGAGACCAAATACTGCCTTCCTGAGCTATAATCATAGCTAATAATTGTCTCAATTTGAAATTCATTTTCTGACAAGAAGTGATTTTAAAACGATTCCTTGACTTAATAAAATTTAGGTGATTTCAGTCCACCTCCCCCACAGCATTTCTAAGCAGATTCTTGCTCATTTCCCATTTTTCTCGAACTTCATTAATTTTCTAATGGAAATTCTTTGTCTTCTGTGGTGTGTGTAACATCTTTATTATTATCCGTTAATTTAAGCAATAGTTGCTGAAGATGTTAAATGAGACTGGTCTGAGCACCTTCTTTTAACTCAGCCATTTCCATTTTTAATTATCCCATCCTTTAATCATCTTTAAATTCATTCCACAAAAGTAATCAGAAAGAATTTCTCTGAAATGAACAAGCGGAGCACTGTAATAAGTACTTTTATTTTAAAACCTAAGCATATTATATCCACTAAATTTTCCTTAGCTACTAATCAGTTAGTTGATCTTCCCTGTAGAATCACATTTGTCAAGCTTGCTTTGTCCTTGCTGAGTTCAGGCATTTGAGAATCATTATGCCATTATTTCCTACAAGTATTTTCACTATTTGCACGTGGAAATATATAAAATGCCTGTGCAATTTTAGCAGCTTCATCAAGGGTCTGAATTTTAAGAAATCTTCCTAGCTTGAGTGCTAGAAATTCATTGTGATGCAACACAATTTTTTTAACATAATCTGTTCTCCTGAAACACAGGGGAAATATTAAATCCCAATATATACCTTTAATTACTGAAATCCTAGGAAACTGAGTATTTTGACTTGAGACTGAAACAGGACATATAAAGATTCCCAGTCTTATTCCTTCCCCACTGAAGGTTTTCTCTGAATATGAAGTTTAAAATGTCTATGGATACATTGTTAACTAATTTATAGAGTATAAAATAAATGTGAATATGTGGATAATATAATCCAATGCTTTCATATTCTGAATTCTCTGATCTATATTTTTTCTTTCCAACACTAATCAGTGGAGAAACCAGTGATATTTCTTTGAAGCACTGGGTTGCCAACACAATTGTGAAGTTTGATAAAAATGCTTTCTCCCCTCAGAACAATCTTAGATAGCTATTTAAATATAATGGTGACTTTTTAATATAGCAGAGCTCAACTCTCAATACCAGCAAATCAGGAAGCAAAACTCATATGTTAGAAACAAAGGATTTTCAAGGACAAGTTAATGCCTTTCTGAATGAGTATGTGTTGTCATATTGACATAAGTGAGTTCTTACTAGTACTTTTTCTTGCTGATAAAATTCTTATCCATTCTAATTTAGCTGACAGTACAATGAGCTGGAGGGAGACCGACTCAGACACTCAACCTCATGTAGACAGAGCTGGAGGGTTTCTACCTGGACTGATGAAACTCTCTCTGGTTCTCCCGTGTAAACGAAAGCTATATGGGGTCTTCCAGGACCATAGATGTTTAACGCTTGAACTGGCCAAGGGTGAAACACGCAGGTTGCTTAAGCTGTTCTGACTGATATTAAGACACTGTGAAAATGTTTATATGGTCCAGAGCTCATGGCTAAGTCATGGACGTGCTAAGGTGATAGTTAGCATCCTAGACAGAAGCAGCTCAGCACAGGGCGCTCCCTTACGGCTAGGGATCGTTCTACTGCAATAATTCATAAAGCGACTCTTGTCTTTATTGCCGAGTCTCCAGTGTTTACAATAGTGCCTCACATACACTAGGCATTCTTTAACTATTTGTTAGAAAATGAACACTGACCAATACTGCATCATAAACTCCATGAACACACAGACAGTATTACTGTTACTCTCCAATCTTTTCAGCCATAGCATGGTATCTGGCATATGGAACCACTCCATAAATTTAAACCAAATGAATAAATCATCAATCAATTAAATAAATTTCTTCAGCTTCTTGCTGGATACAAAACTAAATCTAGGGTCATTTTTAGAAGCTCTGATGTAAGGGGGGCAGGGATTGCAAGGTGGAAGTGGGAATAAGATAACTAGACCAAGTAGAAAATGTCAACTGGAAAACAGGTAAAGAATTAAAATATTTTTAGAAATCCTGATTTCTTAGTTAAGTGCTATTTGAAGATGTCAAAGAGGCAAATTTGGAGATCTTATGTTCATCATCCATCCAGGCCCCAGTGCTTGGCAAGGCCATTCATCACATCAGGTGTTTTCCATTTCTTATTCCAGACAACAATTTGGAAATAAATCCAATCAATCAATACTTAGTAAGCACCAATCTTATACTTAGTTCTAGCTAGGTTCTGGTTTCATCCTTAGTTGAAAACATAGTTGCTTCCTCCAATCATAGTTTACTCCAGGGACTTCAGGAGGCAGATCTCAAGTTCAACGTGGGATATTTACCTAAGTCTCTGAAACTTTAAAGTCACAAGGAAGGGTAACAATATAAATGATGGTAGAAATCATCATCATATCAAAATGGCTCTTTATTATTTATAAAGCTTTTTCATAAACATTTTTCCTCATGTTCACAAACATACTATACGTGAGAGAAGAAATTATTATTATGTCCACTTTCTAAGTAAATTTAGGATCAACAAACTAAAATAACTTGGCCCTAAGTAACACATATAGTGAGATCATAAATCCAGGTCTTGTCATTCCAAATGCCCATCTTTCCCTCCTATACTTTACTGTTATAAGATAAATACTCATCAATGACACCGTATCAATGTGCTATAGATTCTTCTAAACCTAGTGTTTCCTTCCCATCATCTGCCATAGCTTACTTTTGATACTGACGGTACACATAAAATGACATGTACAAAAACTACTCCATCATCTCACACAGACACTGTTCTTCCTCAGAAACCCTCAAATCCATGGCTCCTCCAGCTTTCAGAGCCTCCTTTGAAATATGAATCTGAGGGAGAATTTGGGTTGCTTTGGCCTTAACTGCTACTAGGACAGAAATGTCCCTTTACTCTGTATCTTCTTTGTGTCAAATCCCTTGCATTCCTGCTAGCTGCCTCCAAGCTTGCCAGAATCAAGAACTTGGATAAAATCTAGCTGGCGGAAATTCAATCCAGGCAAGACAAAAGTGATGCTGATAGGCAGAAGTATTTAGAGTAAATAAGGAGAAGTGCTGTTTCACTGGCAATCGGGACATCATACCCACCAAACATAAACAGCTTTGTGGTGTTACTGGACTCTGTTGCTTCTGGACTTCCTAACAGCTACTGTGGCTGGAAATGCCATCTTCCATCTCCAGCTGGCTTGAAGGCTGCATACTGTCTTCCAAATTAAGATTCTGCCACAGTGATGTACACATTTGTCATATCCAGCTGGACTACTATAATGCGTTCTAGCTGGTTCTCAATACACAAAACTACATAAACGTTACAGACAACAGTGTAAAGTAATTTACTTGTTTGGGAAAACCAGCAACAAAATTAGATGCACACTTGGGTCTTTGGACAGGCCTTATGTTTGTCAAGTTGAAAAAGGAGCATTAACTTTAGTCACTAAAGAACAAGTCATATTATGGGCTGATAGGAGTCCAACGCCCAGAACTTTGTAAAGAGGATAAAAACAGCTGACGAATTAAATGGAAAGAGAGAAAGAAGGAAAATGTCAAAAAAAATAGCATGTTAGAATTCGACCCCCAAAATGGGTTTATTTACCTACATGTCTTTCAAAATAAGACTTCTGACAAATACCCTAAGTCAGATTCAAATGGCTCATCATTTCTATACTTCACAGTACATCCTCACTCACTGAAAAAACCATGAACAATAAAACAGTACATTAAGTGTAGTCACCTGTAAAATTCACCCTGTCCAAGTGCCATTAAAAAATCCACTATTCCTTTACTAATATGGAAAACTACAACTATCAACATATTTTTTTCAATTAAATACCTCCAATTTTTGGATTCGCAGAGAATGTTGAAATTTTGATTAAAGGAAATAAAAGGGGTGGGTGTGTGTGTGTGTGTGTGTGTGTGTGTGTGTGTATTATATAGTTTCCCCATTTGGAACAAAATTAAATAGCATAGTGCATAATATAGCCAGAGATTGGCAATATTTTTTCCTCTAAAGCCCAGATAATAAATATGGCTTTGTGGGCCACATGGTCTCTGTTCAATGGCTCTTGAAGCCCAAGAGCAGTTACAGCATGTAAATGAATGAGCATGGCTGTGTTTCAATAAAACTTTCTTTATGAACTGAAAATTTTAAAATTTAAACACCATTCTTGGCTTTTGGGTTCGATTTAGCCCATAGGTTATGGTCTGCTGAACTCTGTTCTATGGAACTATACAAAATAAAACATAAATTTCCATATCACCAGGTCCTAAATCCCAAGCTCTGCCCTGACTTCTCAAGAGACCTTCACAAGTAATTTAAACTGCCTCGGTTATCTCATCTGCAAAACGGTACAGCTAATAACGTTAAAAGCCTCAATAGATTATTTTGAGGATGAATTCTGGTGCTATATTTTGCAAATGATGCTAATTGCACATAGTAAGTGTTTAATGAATGTTACCTAATGGCATACATTATTATTCTTGAGTTAACGCTTCTTTATTTCAATGAAAGAATTAGCAAAATAACTTTGTGCTTAAATTTTCAAAACTATGTTTTTAAGAGCCTAGATATCCTCTTCTCAAGGAAGAAGGGAACCAAATTTACCTAAAGACGTCAAAGAACATTGGAAACGGGGCAAACGAAGGAAAAACCCTGAGTTGCAAAATCCACCTAAAAGTCCAGCTCCATTTGAATTGATACCTACCCGATTTCTGTCTTCCACTGTCAACAGTGTCTCCTCCACACATTTATCCAAGACATCTGTAACTAGAAGCTTGTCCACCAGTGTGGGCTGAAGGAGGTTCAGCAGTTGGAGACACTCGTCGTGAGCGTTCTCGAAGGATGGGGAGGGCAAGTCGGTGAGCTCCGGGTTCACATAGCGGGCGGCTAAGGGGTTGCCTGCTCGCCGGAGGGCCTCCACAAATATCCTGTCCCAGCCGAGGGGCCAGACCCCGTTCTCCAAGGTGTTCAGAAGGAGACCAGCTGCCTGAATGTTCCCGGTGGTGGCAGCCGCCCTTTGAATCCGCTCCTTCACCTCTGCGGGCAGGAAGGTCAGGTAGTCCAGCACCGGCTCCACCTGGATGTATGTTTTCAGTCTGGGCCTGAAGCACGAGATGAGATAGCAGAAATACTTGTCTGCGGAATTCCCATCCGACGACATCTTTCCTTCTCAGAGGAGCGAGAAAATTCTCGCAAGTGGACGGACAAGTTGCTGTTCTCCGCGCCTCGGACGAGACGTGAGTCCCGCAGGGTCTGCAGCACCGCGCCGGACGGCGGCGAGGCCCCCGGGCCGGCGCGCGGGGGCGCAGCGGCACCTGGGCGGGCGGGCGGGACGCGGCGGCGGGCGCGACCCCTCGCGTGTGTGCGCTGCGCGGCCCGGCGCGGGAGTGGGGCGCCGCCGCTGCGCGCCCGGGAGGGAGCTTCGAGGCCGGCTTTCCGCCAGGAGGTTATATAGTTTCCCCGACTTGTTTCTGTTTCGATTCTCTTCTTTCAGTAGTTTCCACACGTAATTGGCCGGGCGAGGCGTGTCTGTTTGGTCGGGGAGGGGCCACTCTTTGCTAAGTTCTGGCGAGATGAGTCCTTTGGTTAAAGGGCAGGGGAAAAGGAAAGCGAATTCTCTCTCCCACCGAGTAAGACAGGATCGCTCCAGTAGTGTACGGGGGTATTTGTCTGTCTTGCAGGGTTTGGCCCCAAAATGCAGGTTTCTTTGCCACGGCCGTCTCGCTTCACCCTGGGCGTGAAAGCCCGTGATTGGAGACTTCCCAGCCCAGAGAAGAACAGAAACCGCCAGAGACCCTGATGTCAACAGGAAGGTGTTATCGTTGACGGGTGAATGCAGGCAGCCTCTGGCCCCGTCTGAATGGTAAGATTACAGGGCACAGGCAGAGAGATGACGCTAAGAAGGCATCTTTTGAGAGATATGTAACCCCAGAACCCCAGGATGAAGGGACCTCTGCACCCTTTCCAGAATAAACCTGCCCTGCTGAGGGTGCCCAAGAACTCTTTTCTCTGGGGATTTGTGGGTGGGTATGAAAAACAGCAAGTAATGATAAAGAATTAACTTTATTGCCTCATGCATAGATTATAATATTTATTTGGCTCTGACCAAGGCCTGGTGGCAGACGCAGAAAGACTTGAACCACCAACTCAATTTAGGAGGAAGCCAAGACGGAAGGTTTGGTATCTCCCAGCGTGTAAGTTCCCCATATTCTTTAATATACAACTTTCCTTTAATAAAACAAAACAAAATCCCCAACAACTTATTTTTGATGTAGCTGCCATTCTTTTCTTGGATTCAATACAGCAAGTTTTGGCTGGAGCAGCTAGGAACTTAATTAGCAACTAATGTACCAACTTGTAGTAAACATCAACATTTGTCTATGTCATGAGAGAAAAAAAAGACACCCACACTGAAAAATGGCAGCTTCAGTTCAATACGGAAGCCACTTAAATCTGAATCCTTCAGGTTGCCATTCACACAAGGCATTCTGCAGCCCTGGCTGACTGTGGGTGGTGGTGTGTCTGCTTCAGAAGGAGAACCTCCTGGTCCAGAATTATATCGAGGAAGGAGGGGTCATTTAGGCTTTAAGAAAGATACATTGAGGAAAAATAATCTGTTAGCAATGCGCATTCAGTGAAGTCTGGATAGGCCAGGGAAGCCTGGTGGTGTTTTGGACTGTATAAGAGAAATACAGAATCTTTGTATTTATTGGAGGCGTATAAAATACCCAGTTGAGTACTTTTTGCTGTTGTCTTATTTTATTCGCTAATTATATTATGTAGCTAAGCCTTTCTCCTCCCCCAAAACGGTAAGCTGCTTGAAGAAAGGACGTATAGACACAGGACTAGTACAATACTCTACGAATAGTAGGCCCTTGCTGATCCCCCCCCGCCGTGGGAATTTTATCTGCCTTGCCTCTAGCAGCTGAACTAAAGTCAAATACACAGCGAAAGTTGTTGAAGTGCAATGGAATCTTGGACTTGTAGCTGGGCCTGATTTGTGCTCTTCTTTGCTGTCTCTTTATAAAACATTACCGTATCTTTTCTTCCTTGGGGACATTTATCTTGTAGATAGAAGAGAATCACATTAGATGTTGGTACAGAAATGTTCAAATGATTAATTTTAGTTAGGTGTCTACAAAGATACCTTTTAGGGCAATTACACTACGGTCCCTTCTCACCTTCTCAGGTGCTGGCAGGCTTGATTCAGTCTGTTAAAGCAATAACAAATAAGCAAACCAATAAACATTCTGACCCCTGGTACTCACACTTCTGTCCTGCCGTTTCAAACACTGGGGAATGAGAAGGGGTTGCTGATTAAATATGGGAAAATAACTTCATCTTCATAACACCACAGAGTTGCTGTCTTGGGTAAGAGAGGGTCAGATTTAGAAGTTTAAACATCTGGTAATTTAGGTTCTATTTATTCAGTCACTTAAGCAATGTTTATTAAGCACCTGCTATGGGACCAGTGCTGCACTAGGTGCTGTTTGCAAAACTAAACAAAGTTTTTACTTTTATGGCGCTCACATTCTAATGGGGGTGGGAAGTCAGAAAATAAATCATAACTAGAAAACATATGTGTGCGGTGAGGCTGAGTGCTGTGAGGACTGTGGTAAGATCTACCTAAAATGCACATGACAGTTTCACTGGTTGATTTTCTGTATAGACACCCTCTCCTGGTCCTCCCTGCTAGCATCCCATAATACCCATCGATAACAATACATATTTACTGTCAAGTAAGAGTCATTGTGCTGGATGAGGATTGAGTGATGAGGACTGATTGGGGAGGAGTGCCTGGGGGAAATAGAAAGAAACGTCTTTTTTAGGAATCTACCGTAATCTTGAGAGGAACACTTCTAAAGGAGGGAAGTTGAGGAAAAATAAAGCCAAGCCACAGTCTCTCAAAATGTAGCCTTTTTGCTCATCTATACTTTTGCATCATGGTTTAGTTTAGTTTCTGATTGTTTAGTTTTCCTCTGTCAAGTGTCTTGAAATAACTTTCATTATCATCCTCCTCACTGTTTCCAAGTGTAAGTTTCTGTTTCCTTTCTCCTCTGAGGTAGGAAATTATGCTGACCTGTATAATTTCCTTCTTTTCTAGAGCTCCCTTTCCTTTTTAAGCCCAAAAGAAATATTTCAGTCTCCATCAGTTTTAGAAGTCACCTTTTAGCATTTTGTTCTTTAAGTAGCAATTCAGGGAGATACTAGATAACAAATTCTTGCCGTTAGCCAACTTACTATATGAGGTTTCCACAATTAAGAAGTAGTAAAAATCATAGCTGCCACTTCTTTGACAAACTAGAACTATAATGTAATGGCCACACATAACAGTAGTGCCTTTTCCAAAGAAAATGACAATAAATTTAATTTGATGAAGACATGCTTCTAGAATTGTTATTGTTTTTCATTTGTTTACTAAATTGTATCAGTAAAGAGACTACTCTGTATAATTTAAAGTTAGATGCCCTTCAACTAGCAGAATAGAGTTGTGATTAAGCAGAGAGACCATGAGCTCAGGATGTCAGGATTCACATCTCAGCACTGCCTGTTAATTGTTGTGTGATCTTAGGAAATAACCTCAAATTGAGTTCTCAGCTATAAAATGGGAAGGTTGATAATACCAGTACTGTGTCATAAGATTGTTGAGTACTTAGTGCCGGTCCTGGCACGTTATACGTGCCCTGTTGGTGACTGCCGGCATTCTTAGACAGATGATGAGCAAGAAATGGGGCCAGCCCTCGGTGAATGTACAGTTTATAGAGGAAATAGCTTAGTTATGCACATAAACATTATATAGTAACTAGCCATTTAATTGCGTTTTTACATAGGATCCTTTTTCACTAGAAACGGAAGCTGATAGGCTGATTTAGCAGAAAAGTTTGTTAGAAGGATACTGTTTATATTTCAAAAACATAAATAGGTCCAAAATAGAAAAAGAAATTCTGGCTACGTTTACTAGATCAGGATACCCATTTCTTAATTACTTCCAAAAATTCAGTTATAAAGTGTTTGGTTTTGAGTGTGCACATGTAAAAGCTTTTCTACATAACGAACAGTTTCGGCAAAAAAATTAGATGTCACTGAAAAATTTTCCAAGCATCCATTTTGCTAAATGCTTCCCCCAAAGCTTAAGTCCTTTCAAAACCAGTAACTTGCATATTTGCACATGTTTTGTTAAAACAGCACCTTTGCCTCAAAAGCATAGAATGGCTGTGCTTCTTTTACTTTATTTTAAAACAAAGGCTTAAGAGCAAACCAAAGGTAAGTAGAGTGCTGTCATCTTGTCCTTGAAATCGTGGTTGACATTTAGCTATGGGATTAGATGGCTTAGCCTGTGTCCATTCTGACTGAGGAGCGTCTCTACTTGTCGCTTAGTACCCACCCCATACAATTAGTTAAATATTTTTATTTCACCTCAGCTCCTGCATAACTGACAAAGTCGTGAAGTAGGAGTAGGGACATGAATTATGGCTATAGACTGAGTTATTGGAATCAAATATTGAGATAAGTTGAACCAAACTTTTGAATTGCTTAGTCACAAAGGGTTAAACTAAGACTTAAAAAAAAAAGGATCATCAGTTACCAAATATTTTTATTTTAATGCAGTAGATTATATCAATTACATTTTGAAATCTTATTTCCTCTTCATCCGAGCCCTTACTTTTAAGTTTTTGTTTGTATTTTATGATATGTTATTATAGCTGTAGAAGTGAATATTTTCTAAATAAATATTCATCTATTTATTGAGGTACGTGTTCAAATATTTTAGCTGATAGGGATCGACAACAAAATACTTGGATACCAGAGCTCCAGAGAACTTCTCAAGGGCTAGAGATTGTGGTAAATTTAAGGAGCAGTATTAATAAGAATGGAGAAGGAAGGTGTGGAGGTGAAAGGCAAGAGAGCTCTGGGAAGGGAAAGAAATTCAGCTGTTAGATCTTGGAAGTAGAACATTTCAAATTGCTAGTGTTATTGCTTTGTGACAAATGTCAGTATACTGAGTTAACACATGGAACCTGAATATATTTCATAGCCTATTGCCAGACATGCTATCCAGCAGATTTGTTCCTGAAATTGAATATTTTAATAAAATTCATTTTTATTTAAAAATAGTTTGTATTCACTGCAGAAATTTCAGGGGAGAAATTGTATTGAAGGAGATTATATGAATTACTTATAATCCCATCACCCAGAGATAGGCATTATTAATATTTTAAATGTATTTCTAACCACTATCTTATTGCATAAATATATGTGTAAATGCATGTATGTGCACATACATACACACACTCAACATCTGTTCAACAGACAGTGAGCTGATATGGT